CTCATTTATGCAATTCTTAGATCAAAATTCAAATAACTGTTTATTAGACTTCATAGCAAAGCCAATTACTTGACTCAATGTTTAAAGATGAAATAATTTTAATATCAATTTTTTTTTATCCCATATTGTAATCTATAGAAAATTAGCTAATCAATATGGCATCATTTCATTTGATATTAATTGCAAGTTTTTGAAGTTATAAAGTATATAACATTAAAAATCAATTGCTTTATCACAAAATGGAGATCTTTTTGGTTTCAATATAAATTATATCATGTTTTTCATACATAGATCAAAATTCCATTAAAAAGCCTCTAAATTATCTAATTTTTTTATTTAAAAAATGATAAAAACTATAATAATATAAAATCTAAAAAAATTGTTTTGATAAACTTGGCATGTGATTCTAGAATTGAATAGCTTTGGAGTTGAAGTTCAATTACTACTTGTACTTGATTGATGAATTCTTAAAACTTTGTTCTTATACCATCAAATTTATTGAAAATGATAATTCTTGGTTTTCTAACATTTGTATGGTATTCTACTATAAGAAAAGTAACTTGATTTGATATGGATGTTGAAGCAACTCCAATCATTTCTATATTTTCACTTCTTGCCAATTTTGTTGCTCTATGTCGTGGTAAATTGAGTTGATGCATTATAAGTATTAACTCCTTCAATTTCTCTTGTATTTATGTCATTTCATCCTTCATTTTGACAAAGCTTTGCCATGATAATAATAAAAAAAAGATGTTTAATATCACTCAAGATAAATAAAAGAAAAGAATTGAAAATAAAGAAAATGCTAAGAAAAATATCAATTTAAAAAGAATAAATTTATAATTCTTAATATTTCTATGTCTTATTAAGAAAAAAAAAAATCCATTCTTAAAAAAAAGAAGACAAAGCTCTAATATTATAAGTATATTTTTGTTAATATGTCAAGGTTAAGAACTAAATAAATGCAAGTAAAAAAATAAAAACTTTTTTAAAGAAAGATGATAAAATAGAAGTAAATAAATTTATATATTCAAAAAAAATTAAAATAGCTATTGCTAAAAGACTAAAAAAGACTAAAGATCCTTGAAACTAAACTATAAGTTAGAAACAAATTAATAAGAGTAAAAAAAGTTTCACTCTTGCTCTCATATATACTATCTAATTAAAAGCTATATGGTGGTATTTTATAGGACCTCCAACATATATTTAATTTAGAAGACACATGTCTTAACTTACAAGACAAATTTTATATATGTATGCCAAATAGTTAGTGTGTATCATAAGCTTTTAATACATACAATATGTAGAATTTTCTAAGGTATTTTTCATAGAAACAAAGGCATCAAATTTTATTATAAATACAATGTTGTTATATATAGGAGCAAATGACAAATTCTACCTAATAGCTTTCTATTTGAAAAAATCTTCAATAGCCAAGTTCAATTATGAAATCCACAATAAAGAACTTCTTGTAATTGTAGATTCATTTCAAGAAAAAAAACATCATCTAATAGTCACTTTTAGTCCAATTATCATATATACAGATCATAAGAACCTTGAGCATTTTATAGCAATGCGTGTTTTGAATAGCCGCTAAGCCTATCAAAGCATGTTTTTATCAAGATTTGATTTCAAGATCACTTATTGACTTGAAAAATAACAAAATTTATTAGACATCATTTTTAGGAATTTTTATCTTACATCTAAAGAAGGAGATGCAATTTTTCATCAATAAAGAATAATTTTCTTGAAGCTTGAATATTTTCATCTTCAAGCAATAAAAATAACATTGACTATTGATTCAATCTTTTTCAAGCAAGTTCAATCAAGTATGCCTTTGAATCTCTTATTCATGATATTAAGCATAATTCTTTTAAGACTAATAATATTTTTAAATTTTAATTCAAGAATAATCTAATCTATTTTAAAGGATGATTATATGTTCCAAAATGTAAAGAATGATTATATATTCTTTAAGCTCATCACAACTTTTCAGCAATCAAATATTTTGGATATAATAAGATTTAAGAGCTAATATTTAAAGATTTTTGGTGGCTTCAAATGTAAAGGCAGTTAAAGACTTTGTATAATTATGTGAGGTTTGTTTAAGATATATATATATATATATATATAAAAAAAACTCATTGACATTGACTTTAAGTACTTTTTTAGCTACTACCTATTTTAGAACCATGGTCTTTGATTTCTATAGATTTTAACATAAATCTTCTAATCTTAGATTATTATGATTCTATATTTATGATAATAGATTATTCTACATAGATGGCATATTTTTTACTATATATAAAATCTATCACAAGTGAAGAAAAAGGTAAGTTTTTACTTGATAGCATCTATCACTATTTTAGAATATCCAAAGATATTATATCAAATAGATAAATTCAATTTTTTAAAAAATATTATAGAATTTTTTTTAAGATTCTATAGATGGATATGAAACTATCTTTGATTTTTTATTTTCAAACCAATAGACAAATAGAGTATATAAATTAAGTTTTGAAGTAATATTTGAAGTAAACCATCAACTACCAATAAGATGATTAAACAACTCTTTTATCATTGATAAAGTTCTCTTATAATATCACAATACAGTCATCTATTCAACAAACATCTTTTTTTACTAATTATGGTTACTATCCATAATTTAATATTTTTTATTTTTTAAAATTTGATAATCTTGTAAGAAAAGATTAAACAATTTTTTTATTTGAATTACATACAACAATAAAGGTACAACTAAAAGAAGCCTAAGAATGACAAAAGTTCAATATGAATGCCTATCATAAAAATCAACCTCAATTTCATATTGGCAACAAAGTATGATTATTTTATTACAATATTAAGACTAACTTCCTTTGTGATAAGTTAGATTAAGATGGACTTCAACCATTTTTTATTAGTAAAAAAATCAATATAATTACTTATTAATTACATCTATCAAAGTCTATAAAAATCCATCTTGTATTTCATATATCTCTTCTTCAGTGATATAAGATATTAAATATCTTGGAAAAAAGACAAATAGCACTACCTCTTATAAAAATAGATAATAATTAAGAATTTGAGATAGAAGAAGTCTTTGATTCAAAATGGTGCTGAAATAAGTTAAAATATCTTTTTCATTGGCACAGATATGATATTAATAAATGCATATTAGAGCTAGCCAAAAATCTTGCAAATGCAATAAAGAAGATTGATGCTTTTCATCAATGACATCTATCAAAATGAAGATGAAGAATAGCAAATATTTGATACAAAAGCAATGCAATTGAAGAATGATTATATTCTACTTTCTATCTTTATTTGTAATTTCTATGTATTTGTGGTGCTAAAGAAATGAAGAATCAATAGCTAACAATTTCAACTCAAGAGCTATCATTTTCTGACTTATGGAAGAAGACATTACAATTGTCACAACCTTCAAGATGTCACAAAAGAGATGAAGATTCTCAAAAACATGTTCTTCTTTGAATAGATAGTAAAATACAATGTCTTTGGTATCACAACCTTGGAAGAGACTTTCAATGCTTGATGATATTATTCAACATTCGAACTACATCCAATGATATTCTAAATAATTAATTTAAAAAGAATTGTGAAGACTTCAACAATGATTAAATAATAGGGTGGTTGTCTTGCTTTAGTATAAGACTATATCAATGATTGAGAAGACCTATCAACCACCTTCAAAGAGAAAAAAAGATTTTAATATATAGCAAATATAATTTGCTACATCTTAAATTTTTTCAACATATAATTGCCACTCTTTATTTCTAGAATGAAGAATAATATCACAAACATATATATATTTATTTAAATAAGTATTGGATAGGAGATAAATGTAGATAGATTTAACATTATCTTGTGGATAAGCTCTTTAAAAGCTTTATAGATGCATAATTAACTTTATAAGTATTTGTAGTTGATTAGTAGGTTAGAAACTTGGCCAACAAATTAGTAACATATCGCACATGTTAGTAGCTTATGGAACAAGCTAACTATGTTGCACATACATAAAAAACTTGTCTTATAAGTTAGACATGTGTCTTGCAAGTTGGATATATGTCATAAGTCATATACAATATTGCCATGTAACTCATAGTTAGATAGTATATATAGAGGCAAGTGTGAAGCTTTTTTTTCACTTTTGTCAATACCTTTCTAATCCTCAGTCTTGTTTCAAGACTTTCTAGTCTTTTTATCTTTGGCAATAGCCATTCTAATTTCATATTATATCATCTTTGAATAATTTTCTAATCTTTTTGAATAATGCAAGAGTGTATTGATCTTTTAGTTCTTTGAAATTAATGTCCTTTACATATAATCTTGTAAAATGGCAATTATAGCTATTGTGGTCCCACAATACTTATATTGAGTAATAGAGCCTTGTATTAATATTTTTTTTCTTATTTTTTCTAAATTTATATTATTTCTATTTTGAAGAATATAAATCAAATATATGCAATATAAAAGATTTTTTTTTCAATATAATTATGCCAATTCTATCTCTTTCACCTTCTACTTATTTGCCTTCTATTCAACTTACAACAACAACAACAAAATTCTTTGACCTATCCAATTCATCATTCTCTATTTAAATTAAGCATATATTTCTCCTCCCACTAACCTTATTGTTTTCCAAAGAATTGTACAATGGCACATTCCAAACTTCTTGCTTCCACTCCTATTTTATGTTTGACAGGGACAAGCCTGCCATTTATCCGGGGAAAGGTGGGAATGTAGCTGGGGGGGGGGATAGGAAGCAAGAGGTGGAGGGCAGCATGAGGAGCGGGAAGGAAGGAGGGGAGCCTGCTGCCGAGAAGCAAGCAAGGAAGGCAAGGCAAGGGAAGGCCGCCGTCGGCGAAGGCTCATGTCGTGCACCCAGTTCCAATAATCTGTGCAGCAGGGCATTTCCACCACTCCATGGCCTTCCAACGTCATGAAAGCGGCTTCATTACGCGGCGTGCGCTGAGCCAATCCCAGCCAAGCCAAGCGAAGTCGACTTAAGCATCCTCGTTCAAGTTCCCTACTCCGTGGTCTCCGCTACCTTTTACTGTACTTTTCTGTGATGCGTACACCTGTTCTGGCACGTGTGTACCTGATGGATTTAGTCCCTTGCAGCTTCACACTCCAGTGGGTGATGGTCTTCAGGAATTGTAGGCGGACGCTGCGTGTAGGAGATGGTCAGAGCTTGAATCGGCTGGGTGTAGGCTAGTCTACTCTGAGTGTCTTACGACACTGCGGATTTCTTAAGGTTTATTTATTTTATTTTTTTGCTGTGTTTTGAGCCCTGTTCGTAACGAGGATTTTGAAGGAGCTGAAGCGGCCCTTAGTTTGACAATGATTTTTTTATGTCAAGCAGGAGTGCTGAGGAGCAGTGCAAGAGGTAAAGAGCTTAGATTGGGAGATGACAAGCTTGTGGCGAAGGACCCTACAGGTACGGACCGGCTTCCAGGAGTTTGTGGGTTTCGGTGAATGAGTTGAAACTACGATGTAAGCGATGGAGCGGCGTTGAATTTCTGGCCAGTTTGACTGAATATCAGTTGCTTTCTTAATAGTGAAGTAATTAAAAGTTTGCCTGAAAAGGAGGGATGATCCAATAATTGTTTCAAAACTCTGTACATTGTGTCCCTGAATATCTGTTCACAGCTATCATTGTGCGTCGTCACACTTGGTGTTGAAGGTGGTTGGATAGACAGGATGCCTCATGAGGAGAAGTCCATGAAGTTTAACTGGGTGAGAAGCAAGAATGACAAAGAGGAGAAGGTCCTTGAAGGTGTAGAAAACGGTGGCAAATCGGCTTATTCTGACGAGGCATGGAAACCGGCTGAAATGCTCTATGAACCTCCTCTTCTGCAAGTAACTCAGCCTAAGGGCTCCTTCTGCACAATCGATTGCCGATTTGCTACTACATTGGAGCCTGATGGAGTCTATGACATCCTTACGGATCCCAACAATCATCGAGTCTTCAAGAATATCAAGGTTTGTACTCTTACGCCGTCCCCCTCTCTCCAGTTTGTGCTCGACTAGTTCATTTGCCTCAGTGCATTGTCCATTTCTGAGACGGCCATTACTCTGAAGTGTGGTAGTCAATATCAAAGTGTCTGATGAAGTGTTTGTTTCATGATTGTGGACAGGAAGTCATATACCGCAAGGTATTGGAAGACGACGGAAACAGGCAGGTGGTGGAGGTGGAGCAGCTGGGGCGTTGGAAATTTTTGTTCCTGTCTGGGACCTTCCCTACACGAGTGATGATTGAACAAAAGCGGCAAGAGAAAACTGTATTATTCACTCACACTATGAAACAGCTGACCTTTGCTGTTAGATTTTTCAGTCCCAAGGCCCAGGGTTTTATCGATTAGAAGCCTTGCAGTTTTTGGTGTGTCATCACCTTCATTGCATAGGAATTGTTTTTGAATTTGGGATGCTGTTGGGATTTCCTGCAGATAGTTTTCGATCTGGCGAAGCAAGGAGGTATTATGAAGAAATTTACTGGATCATGGAAGATTGAGCCCATGAGGGCATCTGAGGCCGCATCCCAGAATGTATCCACAAGCGTGGGGGTGGAGACCGAACCTGGAAGCGACCCCATTCTTGGATCGTGGATCACATTCCAACAAGTGGTCGAGCCTTCCATCAAGCCTCCATGGCCGCTCAGCAACTACATTAGAGGAGTCTCAGACAAGATTGTGCGGGAGATGCTTGCTGATTTGCAACAAGAGTGCCAACGCTTGACGGAGCTTCGAAAAACATCGACATCGGCATCGAAAGTGGTTGCCAATGCTCAACCCTCGAGTAGTTAGTTACTGTCGCTCTTCTAAGGCGTGTAGAATGTTCCGTAGAGGTAGCAGTACTCATAAAAATATATATATGTATATCTTTTATTAACTAGGTATAATCGTGCTCCATGTACGGTGCTCAGAAATTTAAGACAATTGAGCAGACAGTTCCTTGCCGCTGAAGATAGTGGTGAGAGATACAGCTAGACAATTGCTGTAGGACAAAATTTAGCAGAAAAAGGTGTTGAATATATAAATTATGAAGCGCATCTCACGCTATCTGCATGCCAAAATCGCATGGTTTCTCTATTTCTGCGCAATAATGCACAAGCTTCTCGGCCTGCCCAGATGAATTCCTTACCCAGATTAGAAAAATGCGACTTCTGCAATAATAACCTTAAGCAAGTTGGACTTGATCCAAGCACCCTGGCACGGGAGCAGATTGTCCAGGGAAACGTGGCTTGTTAAATTTTAGGCCACGAGCGTACGAGACCTTTCCTGTTCATTGTAATGTACTTCTCAGACTCAACATCCTGTTTACTTGTCAGACTGGGTTTGTCTGTTGTCCTCAGACCACTATTTCATTGAAACTTGGGCCTCCACTGGGCTGATCGCTGAACCAATGCCTCTTGGTTAGAATTGTGGTTGAAAGCAGATTTGAGGTGCTTCGGTTTGCTTGTGGTATTATCGTGCCGTAGTTGTCAAGTAACGCATTCGAATCTGAAATTTTCGGTGTCGAAACCTTCCTAGTTTCATTTCTTCGGAGTGTTACGAAAAGGGGACGACACCTTGAGGCTCACATGCCGATTCCCATGTACCGTACGCATTCTGTGAACTGCAGATTGACCTGAGAAAGGTGAAGGCGACCAGGTGAACAGGGGAGGAAGATAGCTGATGTTACTGAAGCCATGCCTCCTAGTCCACTCATTTCTTCACAGACCTGTATGTGGGCCATGGCGAATTAGCTATTCGTGTTCACTTGCGGCGTCACGAAGGAATTGTAGAACCTGAAGGCAGTTAGGGTGCGAGGATTTGCGCTTCAATCACAGCGCAATTCCTTTGTCTCCTTCCCTCATGCTCTCTGCACGAGTGTCACCAATCCTGGGCTCTTGTCATGATGCAAGGCTGGCGTTCGGACTGGTGGAGCGGGACGTAAGTCAGTTGCCTTTTGGATCTGATCTTCGATTCTTCGTCGGAGCTCAATCCAAATTGAGCAAGTTTCCTGGAGGATGCTCACCAAGCGCAGGCCGTGGCAGGGAGATTCGAACCTCCTCAGTAGCATTTCAGCCTGCCAATCAAATTCAACGAGCTGTGAAAGCGCAAGCTGCTAGCGAGTTGCCCTCGGCCGCAGCGGCCAGCTTGGGTGTCCTTGCATTGATCATGGGAGGGAACTTCTCACAGGGCAAACCTCTTGAAATCATCGGTGAAGGCGCAGCGTTCAATGCCTCGCTCCTTCCAAAACTTACCGAGCTAGAGAAGCCTTACAAGCCGTATCCGTTCCTCAGCAATCGTCATGTCGAGACTATATTTGCTGCCTTTTTTCGGTCTTTGCCTGGGTTCACCTTCAGGCGAGAATGCTTACGGATGGCTGACGGTGGCACCGTGGCACTCGACTGGCCTCAACCCGAGCTTCAAAATCCCAAGGCGGTTCTCATCCTTCTGGTCTGCTCTTTACCTTGTCCATCATTCTCATTTATCAATTTTGAGCTATTAACACCATTTCGTTAGCTTTTGCTCCAAGAGGAACTCACAGTTGGTGGCTGTGACCAGCCAGGTTTGACAGGCGGCAGCGACGACACATACGTGCAGCACATGACACGCCGCGCGCGAAACCATGGTTGGGCTGTGGTTGTGTTCAACAGTAGGGGTTGTGCAGATTCTCCCGTCACCACTGCCCAGGTTTTCTACCTCAATCTGCAAGCGTTCGTATTTCATGTCTCTTTTTTTTTTTTTTTTTTTTTTTTTGTCAAATGTGTAGCTAGGTAGAAAATTTAATAGTTTTTTGACAGACAATGCTCTGTTCGTTTCAGTTCTATTCCGGTTCATTTACCGAAGATTTGCGCCAAGTCGTGAAGCACGCCGCCTTCTTATTCCCATCCTTGCGAATCTACGCTGCAGGGTGGTCTCTTGGTGCAAATATTTTGGTGCGATATTGCGGACAGGTTAGCTTGCTTCCTTTGAATCAATCATCCTTGTATTTGTTTCAGCAGTATGAATCAAGATAGTCATTTGAGCTGCAGCATTAGAATGAAAAAGTGGAAATTGGGTTGCGTTTTCAGGAGGGGGATAGGTGTCCGCTGTCCGGGGCGGTTTCACTTTGCAATCCGTTCAATTTGGTGTTATCTAATGAGGATTTCCATAAAGGGTTCAACAAGATCTACAATAAAAGCCTTGCCAGGGGACTTCGAAGAATCTTTGCCAAGTAAGTGCATCGCCTGATGGATTTGAGTGTTGACAAATCTTTACTGACTATCCCAACTACACATATTCACGCGATGCTGACTAGAAGAGGGTGAGATTCAGGCACGCTCATCTGTTTAAGGATATTGGCGGCGATTACAATATCCCTCTCGTTGAAAAAGCTACAACTGTGCGTGAGTTTGACGATGGTTTGACAAGAGGTGGGCAAAGCGTGTGACATGAAAGGATTGTTCAAATCTATAGACTATCAAGCAATGGACTCAGTTTATAGTATTACCTTCTGTTATGAGTCTTGGGATTGATTCAACACTTATTTTTATTTTTTTAAATCGTGGTGATGATGAATTGCAGTGTCATTTGGTTACAAATCGGTAGATGACTATTACTTCGATGCAAGCAGCTCGCGGTCGATTAAGGATGTCAAAGTTCCTCTCTTGTGTATCCAGGTACATGTTCGCTGCCAGGTCCACTGCATGGACCACCCTAATAAGGCGGAATAGGTCAAGCAACATTTGTGGTCACACTTGTAGGGTTAAGGCTTGCATCTAGGAGTTTGTCTAGTCAACTTGTTTGGTATCTAACACATAGAATTGAATTGTATAGGCATGGACGGATCCAATCGCTCCAGAGCGAGGTATCCCTCGAGCAGATATTGCGGTAAAGCATATGACGCCTTCATTATCATTTAACATACTTCCATTTTATTTTCTTTGGATTCTAACCAAAGTCTCATTTCAGTTCAAATTTTCTATCCTGCTGTCAATTATCAGGGAAAGTTTAGAAAGGATTCAACTACTGTGACTGACTCCAGAATGAATCTTCTCGCTTTTGTCAGGCAAATCCGAACTGCTTTCTGGTGGTAACGCCATACGGAGGCCACTTGGGGTGGATATCAGGGCCAGAGGCCCCATTTGGGTGTCCATGGACCGACCCATTGATAATGCAATACCTGGAGGCTTTGGAAGAGGCAGGGTCTGATGCGCCCGCTTTTCGCAAAGTGCAGGAAGATGGAGGAGACGTGGAGGTGGCGAGTGAGAGCAGTCGGCAATCTACAGAGAGACCTGGGTTGATGGAGTGATGGCGTTGCGGAATCTCTTCCCTCCCGCACTGACATGCCATCCATCCCTCCCTCCCTCTCTCCCTCTGCAAATCGAGTCTCAATGCAGCGGTGAGTGCTTCATCTAGATCCCAGCGGTGGCTTTGAGCTTTTGATTGTGCTTATGCGGCACAGTTTCTCCTCCGGTGTGATTCATGTACCCTTGCAATGGTGAGGATAGTTTCCAGTGATGTCCACAACGCAAGCACGGCTCTTTGTCTAGGATGGTCCTCGGGGGACTGTAGCTCTTCCTTGCCAGGATTTTGTCAACAGATAATTTTTGGGTTCTCAACAGCAATCAAGACATCGAGAAGGATTCCAGGGCGGACTTCTCGGACGTTTCAGTAGTGCTAGGTTCTCCATTGATTGCTATTGTTATTATTATTGATATTAATAATACTGGAAGTTGCATGTTGGTGCTGAGTTTGGGAAGCTATGCGCATGCAGAGGATTGTGCATTCCGGTGGTGTTGTATATTCTGAGTTCGCACACACTCCTCGTTGAACATCTCCTTATAAGTTGGAGAATCGTATCAGAGATTTGCAGTGTATTTGCTTCTCTCGGGACTTGAGGGCCAATTTTTTCATTGATTGGAGGGATTTTTGGTGCTCATTAAATCCTCTTAGAGTGAGTAGAGAGCATTTGAAGCATGTTTTATCTTCAATGAGCACATCGGAAGCATCTTAAGTTTAGAGGAGCTGGTTTGAATGACCCAATGAGCACTGATTGATTGATAAGAGAGCATGTGGAGTTTAGAGGTGTTGATTGGAGCATGTTTAAGGTATAGAGGTGTGGATTAGAGTAGATATGGAGCATAAAGTTGGTTAGAGATAAAGTTGGGTAGGGTATATTTGAAAGAGAGTGCATTTGGAGCACAAAAGTGTTGGTTGGAGTGAATTTGATTCTACATGTGTTGATTAGAGTTCATTTGGAATATAGAAAGATTGGTTGAAGTGCATTTGGAATAAAGAGATATTGATTGGAATTTGTGAAGAGATCTTAATTTGTTAAGTATTTTGAAATTTGTTGGAACATGATGAATTTTTTTGAAATTTGGAGTTTGCACAGCACTTTAGATTTTTAAATATTAACATATATTTATTCTTATAGACATTTTTATGAATAAATTAACAAGAATAATATGATTTATATAGGTTTTTTTAAATAATAAAAATAAGTTTAATTCTATACTAATAAAAAGTATTTTGAGATGTTTAAAAATATAATTTTTTGTAAATAACCTATGTTAAATTTTTTACAAGTTAAATAAGGATTTTTTTAAATAAAATATAATATAAGAAATAATTTGATACATCAAAGAAATAATGTTAATATATATATATATATATATATATATATATATATTCAATTACTTGATTACATTTAAAACCAATCAATATGAATGTGTTGAATCAATAAATATTTTAATAAAATATAAGCATTTAAAATTTGATATTATTATCTTAGTCACTTTTTATATAGAGATTATTAAAAATCTTCAATTCATAGTGTATAAGATAGAATTTAGCAAATCAAAGACAATTGACATCACTTTATTAGGCCACTAGATGCAAATAAATTATTGATAAAAATAATAAAAGTCACAAAGTATCAAGGATATGAATTGGAAGAAGATACATAAACCTAGAAAATCAATGTTAAAAGAAAAATAAAAAAATAGCAATAAAGTAATATGTATATTAAAAAAAAAAAACTAAAATAGCTATTGCTAAAACTAGAGACTCTTAAATCTACACTAAAAGTAAGAAAGTAGTTGACAAAAGTGAAGAAGGCTTCATTCTTGCTTCTATATATACTATCTAACTAGGAGCTATGTGGCGATGTTCTATAGAACCTCTAATATGTGTTGACTTTGTAAGATACATGCCTTAGCTTACAAGATATAAATTGGATATAAATTATAAACAATTGGTTAGTAAAGAATCTTGTAAATACAACAAAGGTGATGGAGGCTTTTCATCGACAACATCCATTTAAATCAAGATGAAGAATAATAAGTCTTTTGCTATAAAAGAAACAAGGTCCATAGAAGATTGCATTCTACCTTCTATCTTTTTTTGTAGCTTCTATGTATTTGTGATGCTAAAGAGATAAAGAACCAACAACCAACAAATTCAACTCAAGAGCTTTCATTTATGGACTTATCAAATAAGACACTACGATTGTCACAACCTTCAAGTTGACAAAATCGAGTTGAAGATCCTCAAGAACGACATGTCCTTCCTTGAAAATATGGTAAGATACAACGTATTTGATATCACAACCTTAGAAGAGACACTCAATGTTTTGTGATTTTATTAGAGATAGAAACAACTCCTAAAGAAGTTCTAAATGTTTTATTTAAAGGAAGTTACGAAGGCCTTAACAATGACCAAATAACAGGGTGGTCTTCTTGCCCTAGTATGAAACATTATAGATGATTGAGAGGGCCTAAATCTTTAAGATTCTTTACTAACCAATTGTTTATAATTGGATATAAATTATCTAATATTGGATCTTGTTATTCAAGAAAAGATGAAAACTACAATAATACAGAACTTAAAAGAAGTATATCAATGAATCTAACTTGTAATCTTGGAGTTGAATAACTTTGGGTTTGAAGTTCAATCACAAATTGTACTTGATTGATAAATTCTCAAAACTTGGATTTTGTACCATCAAACTTCTTAAACGAGACAACTCTTGGTTCTCTAGTATCGGAAGGATGTTCTATTATAAGAAAAGGGACATGATTCTGTGCAGATGTTGAAGCACCTCCAATCATATCTATATCATGACTTCCTACAATTCTTGTTGTTCCTTGTGGTTGCAAATTCAATTGATGAATCGCATACATTAACTCTCTCAATTACTCTCGTATTTATATCATTGCACTCTTCATTTCAAGAAGCTCTGCTATAATAATACTTAGAAAATAAATGTCTAATATTACTGAAGATAAGTAAAAGAGAGGACTTGAGACAAAGAAGATATTAAAAACAATATTAGTTTAAAAGAGGATAATCTACAACTTCTAACACGCTTATGTCTTATTAAGAAAAAAGAATAATCCACTTTTAATCAAGAAAAGATAAAGCTCTAATATTCTAAATATATTCTTGTCAATTTATCAAAGATATAAATTGGAAGAAGATGCATAAACCTAAAGAACTAGTGTTAAAAGAAAAATGATAAAATAGTAATAAAATAGTATGCATATTAAAAGAAAACTAAAATGGCTATTGCCAAAAGATAAGGAAATTAGAGACTTTTAAATCTAGACTAGAAGCAAGAAAGGAGTTGATAAGAGTAAAGAGGGCTTCACTCTTACCTCTATATATATTATCTAACTAAGAGCTACATGGTGATGTTCTATAGGACCTCTAATATGTATTGACTTTGCAAGACACATGGTTTAGCTTACAAGGCAAGTTTTCTACGTATGGACCATATAGTTAGCTTGTTCTTCGAGCTACCAACATATGTGGCACATAACCAACTTATTGACCACATTTCTAACCTAAAAAGTCAATTAAAGACACCTATAAAGTCAAAGCAATGTTTATGAAGCTTCTGAGAAACCCATATAGAAGATATTATGGAATTAACCTACTTTTACCTATTTTTATCTAAATCATATAAATAATTATTGGTTTACATGTATATATCGATAACACAAAGATAGTATGAATTGTGTATTTAAATAGATATTCACCAATAAAAATAATTTTTTTTTTTCTTATTATAAATAATTAAAATATATATATATATATATATATATAACTTAAAAATATTTTGGTAAGTTTAAGTAGTGCATTGGATGGGGTGCTTGGTCCCGCATCACCAACTTCATCACATCTTGGAACCAGGCAAGTTGCAGATCTCTCTCAGTGCTTATGAAAAGTTACAGGACTACTTGCAGAATGCACACTGTAGAACAACATCGTTGAAGATTCATCGGCAATTGCACATATTTATAGAAAGGTGGGCGAAGGCTCTCACTCACTTTCTCACGACGAATGGCATAGTGCAGTAAAGTTTACTATTAGAGCATTGAATGAGAACTGGCTTTGAAATTGATAATCTACTCATTCAAGGATGCTAATGTACCACTTTTCATGCAATAAGTAGACATAAACAATAAGAATTATAATAATATAAAAGATTCAAGCCTTCGGCGTCGGGCGCTGGTGTGAAACGTATCCAGGAGTCAGATCAGAGATGCGAGAGAGCAGCTGATATTATACTGCGGAGGAGGAGGAACGCTTTGGCATTCGAATTTGCACAGCACCCAACGTGCAAGATCGGATCCCCCTGCTGCCGAGCCAGGTCTCCACGCCACCATCGAGGAGTGAGGCACACTCAGGGAGCCCTAGAACTGACGACCCTAAAGCGGTGACCGGAAAAGTTACTGTGGTTGGCAAACTCAAAAGAAAGGATGCTTTTTAGGCGAGGCGCCACATCCAGTTCCACGGACGCTGCGCAGCTCCGCCGCTCGATCCAACCCAACATGAATTCCGCTTCAATACACTGTATTCGTTCAGCTCTTGCGGTGGACGTGCCAACTGCAAATGTGATCCAGCCTTAATTCGTGATTGTGGACTGTTGAGGTGTTCAAACGCAGCCAGTGTTAAGTTGGTTCGGCTCTCTGAATGCGTCACAGAGCTGTCTGCCGGAAAGATGGCTGCATGTGGGAATTCTAGGTGATCTTGCAGGTGCTTCGCTTCTTCGAATTTCGGCTACAGTAAATCGTACCGTTGTTTGAGTAGGGGTGCATGCGTTAGACAGACACCGAATGATCTTAAGTGTAGACAGGATTGGAGACGAGTCTGCTTGAACCTGGAGATATGTTGACCAGTTGATGCGGAATATTGCTTCAATCACATTCTTCAAGCCTGGACGCGATACAAGGAGTGTCTTAACTGCATAAGACATCCCGCGCAAAGAGGAGAAGTCGAAGCTGGAGGCGAGAGGTGAATATTGAGCGTCTGGAAGATCATTCAAGTTTTCTGTGGGTAATCTACAGGTTTCTTGTCGAGAGGAGGACTAAGGGCAGTAGTTATACCGATTGAAACTACCTTGAAATGCAGGCACTAAACAGGCAGGCGTCATGCATGAGCGGAGTGGCGCACGAAGATGCAACGGCCATAGACAATGTTAACTTGTACGAGAAGCTCGGCTTCGACACTTTTGTCAAGCTCTCCACCAATTTTTACAACGAGTGAGATACTTACACAGTGTTTCCTTCTATGTATCGCACCTCACTTCAGGTTTGAAGTGAAATTAGAGGAGCCGATGCAATTAGATGCTCACTTTGATCAACAAGAATTATGCTCACTGGTTGTTTATTGTCAATTTGCCCAATTCGGTTTGGATGGGATTAACTGTTTCACGATCCTCTGGAATACTGTTCCTGTTGGTCTCATTCAGTGTAGCCCATTGACAAACAATCAGTCTTCTAAGTTAAGGAACTCAAACAGTGACTGTTTATGATGTGGTCGTCCCATGATTGGTTTTGCAGGGTTTACAATGACGATCAACAGTGGTTTCGGTCAATATTTGCAAATTCTACTAAAGATGATGCCATTCAAAACCAGTATGAGTTTTTCATTCAGCGAATGGGTGGACCACCTCTTTACGCCCATAGAAAAGGTACATACTCACCGATCAATCACTTATTCCTCTCATTTGTGTGTGGGTCATTCATTGTAGATTCGTCATGGAATACTCTCGTTTGAGCAGTCTGCTTGAAAGTCATTCAAATTGATCTCTCTTGAAATCTTCGAATCACAACTCAGCGAGCAATTTATGTAACTGCTTGAATTCTTCACGGCAGGGAGCACGGCGCTGATTGCAAGACACGGACCTTACCCCATAACAGAGAGAGCTGCAGCCCGGTGGTTGTTTCATATGAAAACAGCTCTTGACAAGTCCCCTGAAATCGACTTAGACTCCAAGACCCGGATGTTCAACTTCTTCAAGTAAGTGCCAAACCGCAAAGCGTGACACACTTCCCACAATTAAGTTAATGAGAGCTCAAGACTTACATAACTAATTCGTGAAAATCGTGAAAGTTATCCTTACAATGCTGAGCTAATGAAGTGGTTCTTCGATCTGAATGTGCAGACATACTGCGTTCTTTCTGGTGGCAGGAAAAGAGCTGACAAACCACCATCGGCTGGTGGGAAATTACGGTGTGGGTGGCAGGCACATGGGCCGTGCTTAACAGCTTACAAACCATTAAAAACGATGGCAGTGCTAGATCGATTCCACGAATCTTCCTCTGTACATATCTTCACAGGAGCAGGCAATTCTATTCACATTGCCCAGTAGACCTTCTGTCAATTTTGTTTACGGATTGGAGCACTGAACTGGCACACAAAATTGTACTCTATTCTAGATTCAATGTATTCCATCCTTTTGTGGGAATGCTCCCGTATGTTATGCGTGTCCGAATGAAGTGGTGTACCTGTTTCTGGCGCTCTGAGCCTGCATGGGACCAACTCCGTGTTTCTTCACTTTAACTACTACTTGTGAGAAAAGTGCGGACGCCTCCCCAACCACAAGAGTTCAGTTCATTCCAATTCCGTTTCAAATTGGGACCTTTTTCCTCTTCTAGATCTGCCATTGGCTATCCATCATTGGGAATGTATTTGTTTTTGTTGCTTCAATTTTGAATTATGAAAATTAAATTAGAACTTAACTAATAAAGTTTCAAAAAAATAAAATAAAATAAAAAAATTGAGAAAAGTAGTAGAATTAAAATAGAAGAAGATAGAGCAAATGTTTTCAAGTTATTTTAAGTAAGTTTGTGCCAAAACTAAGACTTTGAGAAATTGACAATAGTAAAAAGAAAAATAAAAAAAAAAATAAAAAAAAAATTGGCTATATGTCATTTTGGTAATATTGTATGTTGTATGGAAAATTATCAATTCCTATTTGCTTAGAAACATTTCTTTTTTGACACATAAATGGGGTGTATCCCATGCACTAGTGGAATAGACAAACTACAATAGTCTATTTGATTTCTTATATCTTAAGATAGAGCTAAGAGTATTAAGAGTATGTAGTGGTTGACAAGCTCATTTACACTTTTGTGTATAGTAATATTACACTAACGTACTTAAAAGTTCTATTTACTTACTTTGTTATGTCTAAAACCAAGTATGTGTTTAGCCATCTAGGAGTTATTCCATCTCTTAAGTAAAAAGGACTAATATTGCAAGTATTTTGCTAATTATATTTTTTACAAATTTCTTACAAAGTTGTTCATATTCAGTAAGACCTTACCAAATAAAGCTTCTAGTATGGAGAGTATTCTATAATTCATTTTTAAAAGCAAAATTATTTTTTCTTATCCAAAAGTTCTATAAACAATTTCTTTTTAACAATGACCTTATTTTACAAAGATATTTAAATCCAGAGAGAAGAATTTCCACAAAGATAGCTTGTTGCCAAGTGAGGGATTTCTAAAGATGCCAATTCCAAGAATTGTATGATAGTTTGTATAAGAGGGAAGTAGCCCAATTCCAAATGTAACATACTTGTGATTAATTCTATATTCGACTTCTTGCCACAGCGAGATGCATTCTCCACATGAAAAGTAGGTTAATTAACATTAGTAGATGCTCATTTTTTCTGACAATTTTCCTCCCACCTGTCCTAAAATTCTGCCACCCACCACTGCCAGTTTGGCTGTTGCATGATTGAAGTTGGAATGTTAATTGATGTAAGTGTGGGAACCAACACATCGAAGTGCTCGGAGGGAAACTGGGGCTGACAGTCCTTGTATGAATGATTCCTGCAAATGTGGCTTTGAACTTGGCGTTGCGGATGTGTAGGGAACCTTTACCAGGATGTCCAGTTCCGACTGTCTGAACGTCGATTGAAATTCGTTGCCCAACACCCATGCGAAGTGTTTTTCCTTGTGTAATTCTAGTTGCACTTGTTGAATTTTTGAGTGCAACTGCATTTGTACACCAACTAATGTAGCCATTGGGTCTGAACATTCAGAGTTCTAGATACAATTTGAAAGACATTGTGATAAATTTAGATGTGGAGGTGAGTCTGCTTGTATCTGAAGATTGGTCAATCAATCGATCGGTACAACTGCAACAACCACACTCTCATCTAATCTCGTTATGAAGACCGTCTTCCTAAGACATCTGCTCGATATGATCAATTGATGACTTGCACACTTCCATCTAATGGTAGGCGTGAAAATTCTGTCGGTGAGCGGTGAATGCCGTTCGATACGTGAACGCACATCTGTAAACAACAACTGTTTTGACATTAACTCGATGATTTCTCATTGTGTTAAATGTCAGTGAATGGAATGATAATAAAACCAGAGATACAACTAGCCGCATGATGCGTTCTTAAGACACATCTAAGACAGTGACTTGCACAAACAGGGTACAACTGAAATGAATGGACTCTGAACGCTAATCCTTGTAAACTAAGCACTTCCACGTGCCGTGAAATATTGCACATATATTTGCACCGATTACGCGTCGACACATACTTTGAAAGCATTGAGTCCCACTGGTGCTCACAGAGCAACAAAGAAGTGCGTATGGTACCATCACATGAAGAACTGCTGAAATATGTGCCACGGCCAACGCCTCGGAACTGAATTCGAGAGACGACATTACAAACAAAAGGAATACCAGAAGTGGGATGACGGCCCTCAACTACCGTTAGTATTAATAGAATTGCAAACGCAAATTCATCAAAGATAGCTCTCTGAACGATTATTGCTAGCTCAGTATTCTGTTTCTTGCACAGAACCGGCCTACATGAGAATTGAACCTTGACCAACAAGGATCAATCTATCAATCAATCATGAGCCAACCTAGATTTCTGAGAAGGTGAACAAATCACCAAAACCAAAATGAATGCATCGATCAATTGCACACTACAGGGAATACATAATTCAACTCGAAGGAACTAGGCACGTTTGAGGCCCATCTTCATCCCGTATCCGAAGGGGAACAACGGGTTGTAGTATCGATCGCCAACGTTCATAGGCAGCTGATCGACGCGCCGGAACCACGTCCTTGATAGCCTCCCGGAAAATTCGTAGTTGCCGAACAGCACTTCGGCAACTCCACGTCCTTCAGATCCTGGAAGCCATGCAGCGACAAACGCGTTCATGTAGCCCAGGTAGGGCTCAACCACAAGCGGTCTGCCAGAGATCATGACTACCACGCACGCAACATTGGAGCAGGTATCCTTGATTAGGGCGGGGTATGGCGCCGGCATGTTGAGATTGTTGAGGTTGTCACCGTTCACCTCAGCGTAGGGTTGCTCACCAACAACGACAATGGCGTACTCGAAGCCCTTGCCCTTAGCATATCCGGCAGAGGGGTTGGGCTGGTATACAACCTCAGAGTTACGACCTATGACTTGCCTGATGCCGCCCAGGATGGTGGTGCCCTTGGTGGTGGCGCCTCTGCCTCCTTGCCAGCTTATAGTCCAGCCTCCGCATTGCAGGCCAATGTCGTTGGCGTGAGCTCCCACTACCAGGATCTTACTGGCGTACTTGTTCAAGGGCAGTAGCTTCTTCTTCGCACCACCTCCGTTCTTCAAGAGCACCAGAGATTTGCGCACTGCTTCCCGTGCCAAGGCGCCATGTTGCTGCACAATTAAGTGAATCAGATGGATAGATAGGCTCATCTCATTGCTTGCATGTTAACACAAGAGTTGAATACGATAGATCCAAACGGAACTTACCAGCGAACCAAGGTATGTCCTAAGGCTGTTATCTGCGTAAGGGTACTCGAATAGGCGAGCCTGGAACTTCACCCGCAGGATACGGCTCACAGCGTCGTTGATTCTTCCGATGGGGATGGCACCAGTGGCGACATGCCCCTTCACAATATTGATGAACTTCACGTAATCGAAGGGCACCATGACAATATCAATGCCAGCATTGATTCCTTGTCTGACAGAGTTTATGTAGTTCGCCCCCCACGGGTCTGAGATGCGGTCAATCCCCTGCCAGTCGGAGATGACAATTCCCCTGAAACCTAGCCTGCCCTTGAGCACATCTGTGAGGAGGAACTTATTGGCGTGCATCTTCTGCTTGTTCCAGCTCGAATACGAAACCATGATGGTCGACACACCCTTTGCGATGGCGTCAGGATAAGCTCTCATGTGCGTTTTCACGAGAGTATCATAGTTCATGATGGCATTACCCATATCCTTGCCCTGCCACGTTCCTCCGTCACCCACGAAATGCTTAGCACAGGCCAGCACTTTGCGGTTGCTTTCCAAGTAGGGACCTCTCCATCCCGCCGGACACTGACCTTGTAACCCGTCGATAATGGTAGTCATACTCCTCACCACTTCAGGATCCTCGCTGTAGCTCTCGTAGCACCGACCCCAACGCGGATCACGGCACACGGCAATGCATGGTGCGAACGTGTATGTGATCCCGGTTGCGCGCACTTCCAGGGCAGTCGCGCTTCCAATCCTCCTCACTAAGTTTGGATCCCTGCTCGACCAAGTACGACCAAATCATTATACTCGTGAAGTTGTGGTTAGTAGCTTGATTCCAAATATATCAACTTGAAAATAGTCCTGAGTCATGGATGTTGATCGTGGAATTGAATATACCTTGTGCAGCCGAGACCAATGTTGTGCGGGAAGATAGTGGCTCCATAGACATTGTTATTGCCGTGCACAGCGTCGGTACCATAAATAATTGGAATTTTCAGTCTTGTTTGCATGGCGCCCCACTGAAAGCTGTTTGTCATGGACATCCATTGAGAAGGCGTCGCTCTGTACGAAGGCTCACTTCCCCCACCGCTCAGAATGCTCCCTGCACAGGTAACAGAATCAGACTGGCTCCAATTACATTGAGACTGACAAGAAGGCACTTGGATTTAGGGCTAGTCTAATTTGAACTCCCACGAACATCTGTGAATCTGCAACACCAGAATGGTTACAAAAAAGCCAACAGGCAGAAGGTGAGACAATAAAAAGGGTATGCACGAACCAATTTTGTACTTCTCAATAACAGAAGGGGACGCGACGCCACGCTCGATCTGCGTCATCTGACCAATCTTCTCGTCGAGGGTCATTCGAGAGAGAAGGTCATTGACCCTGACTTCCACAGGCTGTCTGGGATCCATGTACCTGGGTCTTTGGGCAACAGCCTCCTGGGCTAGGAAGCATGAAACCAGCACCACGGCCAGGGAGCATAGCCTCCATTGCAACATCGATCCCATAGCTCAATTTTCACGGTCTGTATCAGTCAACATGGAGAATTCTAATCAGTTTCACCACCAGAAGAGTATCCAAGAAGAATCCGGACTTCTCACACCTCAACACTTGCCAACGTAAAAGTCTTATATCTCAGTGCCAATACCAGTTGAAGCATTAAATTACTCTAGCCTTCTCATAGGGAGAGCTACTGCCCTAGTGCCTCGGAAAAGGCCACACTTAAAATCTATGAACGATGTTTTATAAGTCTATTAACAACCGCCATTCATGTTGTAAATGCCGAAGGAGTCCCCACACAAGCTAGCGGAACTATGCAACTTGGAATGCAAAACAAGGCCCCATCACTCGCATTGGCAACTAATGCTTCTAACGTGGAGCATCCGAAACACTGCACAACGCAGTTTCAAAATCAAGACTGAAACTAATCCACACAACTGGAAGTGCGACTACCTGTGAGCGACTAGACAGATCGTCTCCAGGTTGAGAAACCTTGCATGAAATTCAGCTCCCACAAGATAAAATGGTGCCGGACTGGTACCAGACTTGTACAGAGAGGAGCAGACCGAAAGGAGGGCAGCAAAACACACACAGATTCAAGGTGAAGCACGGCCTGTGCGTAGGAGCACCGCTGGCCTGGAGTCTAGAAGGGCTTCTCGAAGGAGAGTCACAGGCGGAGTGAGTTATCAGGCAGGTTTGATTGTTCTGGTGTGAACTCGGCGCGACCGGTAATTCAGGGATCACCTCCCGATATGCCAAATATGGTGCAAGTTGTTAAGTTTAGGCATCCTGGTATCCGCTTTCATCTCGGTGATGTGCAGCCCCTAAAGTCACTGCGCAAGTGAATTTGCGTCATAGATCCATCGGGTCTCATGAGAATTCCTCCTTCCGCACGACGGCGCGGAACGAGACTGCAGTGGCACCACCATGCTCGGATGCTGCATTTAGAAACAGCGTAGCTCCCGACTCTCCTCCAGTGGAACAGGTAAACTTCCCAAAACAAGCGCACCACACCCCTCCTTATCGCGATTGTGCCCCGCGACGAGATTGTGGCGCTGCACGAGGATGACAGCGCGGGTGGATCATCTTACCCTCTCTCCCTCCACTTTGCTGGGCTGGGCTAGGCTGCGTTGTGCCCTAATTATAGTACCTCCGAGTGGGCGGGAGGTGGATTTCAGTTCATTGCTTGGCCACATTTGAAATCCATGTAGCAACCGCACCAGCCCTATGCAGCCGGGCATTGTCCAAAGTTTCGGAAGATCCATGAACTTAGGCGATTTTAATGCCTAGAATTAAAACAATATGAGTCTTTGAACCTCCAGATATTTTTTATCCTATTCTTTTCTCTGGTTTTTTAAGAGTAGAAAGGATTTTTAAAATCTTTCAAGTACACATATATAACAAGAAAATTTTAAAAAAAGATTTGTAAAACTTGTTTATAACAATTTCATTATTCAAGATAAAGATATATGGTATATAATATTGTCCAAGAATGAATTCATTTATATATATATATATATATATATATATATACATATACATATACATACATCATTAAAACTACATACATACTTTTTGATATATTGAAATATTTTATAATACTAATCAATTACTTTTTATTTTATTATTAATAAAATTTCATAATATTCTTGTTTTTTCATTTAATTATTTTTTTATTTTATTCTTTTTTGGCTTTTATTACTTAATTGATGTATTTTAAATCACAATAAGATCATTATTCATTTAGATATTAAATATTTTGTAGTCTCATGCTACAAGTAGACTCTAAGTTGTATACACATCTATTATGTCTATACACACATCCAAGGCTTTTGATTGATTCATCCATTTTCATTTTCCCTTATCCCAATGTAAGTCTTAGTTTCCCTCTTTTTCTCCCTTATATTGGCATAGGTCCTAGCCTCCTCCTTTTCTTCTTTATCTTAGCACAAGTTATGCTATGTCTCTCCTTTTCTTTGGCACGGGTTTTGGCTCCTCTCCCTCTCTTCCTTACCTTAATAAGAAGTCACAAACTGAAGTACATCCACCTCTCTTTCAATTTGCATCATCCAAATCATTATAACTATTTCTTCATATATTGATTTTTAAAATCCAAAAATAAAACAAGTAATCCTCTAACTAAAATACACAACCCACTATAGTGAATTGCTTTTGCAATTGCATAAGGCTTATCTGACAATATATTAACCTAAAGAAGGGATATAATGATATTGGAATAGATACAAAAATAGAGCTAGGTTAGACCAATTTGTTTCATTGAAGAATAATATCTAATACATGAAATAATATTTAGTGTGTTTCCTAAATGACAAGTATGATATTTGTGGTTGAATCTCTTAGATTAAAAATCAATTTCAATGGTTTTCTTGAGATCACTCACATAAGAGAATAGAAATTCAATTGATGTTCAACAAATAGGACATATTTCTAGTCCTTTTATAGAGGAAGTATTATTAGGGTCAAAATATAACTTAGGCCTCTATCCTTGCAATTAATGTGTTTGTTGATGCTTGCCTTACTCATTATCATTAAGATCTTATCTTGATTTGTGTAAGATCCTATGGCTTATCACCAACATGTATAAAACAAGTCATATGTGATATTAGAGGATTGTATCTTTAGCAAGAACAATGTTGACTTCACTACTTCTCATGAACAAGCAATAATTCATTGAAATTGGATAATGCATGGCAAATTTTTTTTGAAGATATAGTAATGAGATAGTTTTCAAATGTTCTTGTATGATGTTCAAGGTTCTTAATATTAGAGGAATTTAAAGCTTGTACAATCTCTATATTAGCTGCTTGTTTGTGTTGCCCTTGGAATTTAGCATCAAAATAACACATGATTTGTTACATGCAGTAAAATGCATCACTTGTTGCATATTCAAGTTTTTTTTTTTTTTTTTTTTTTTTTTTTTTTTTTTTAATTTTTTTTTATAGGTTTCTTTTGTAATCATCTTGACAATATTGCTTGGAAATGTGACTCCAAAAAAATTAACTATTATACCTTGGTGGCCAACTCAAGTGCTTATTGAAAAAAGGGAGTAGAATCCCTGTTGAAAAAAGAAAGAAAATAAGAGGAGTTGGGACCTGTTTCAAAGAAAAGAAAAGAGTCAATAAGACATACCCCAAGGAAATGAAAAAAAGTGATAGTATTTGCATTAAGGCAAAAAAAAAAAAAAAAAAAAAAAAAAAAATCATGATCCTTGTCAAAGGAAGAAAGAAAAAGAAAGAAAACATGACTGCCTTAGATGTGTATATAGCAACTTAAGATGTGCTTGTAGCACGAGCTTATTTTGTAATGTGGTAGCAACACTCTTTATAAGATAGCAATCAATTATACTACTAAAGATGCCAATTGAAATAAAAGAATTTATAGCTTAAAAAATAGTCTAGTATATGTTATACAATATTAACTAATAATTAAGAATTATTTATTTTAAATTTTTCTTTTGACTTTTTTAAATATATAAATAATATAATAATATGTAGATATATGAAAAAAGATGTAATAAAAAATTTGACTTTAAAGATATAAAAGATTCAACTGTTATTTAAAATTTAATAGCAATGGCATGAATTGTGTAATGTAAGTAATTTCTTTTAATGATTTAATATAATATTTTTAATATGTATTTATAAAAGATGTTTTTTGGTATGGAAATAAAATCAATTATATTAAAAAATTCCTAATAAAAAGTTTAGATCTCATTGCTTAAGATTTAGATCTATTTTTTAAATCTTTTTATATTATATTTTTATAATTTATAAACCATTGTTTGGGATTAAAAAATAAATATTTGAGACTTTAATTCAAAAAAATTAATAATTTATTTATTTATATTTTAATCAAATATGTTGTCATAAATACAACTTCTTGTGATATCTTATTACAACATAAAATCTTATATCCCATTGATTTTGATATTAAATATTAAACCAAAGTAACTTAATTTTGATCACAATAATTTTAATAATATATGTTGAAGAATTTATTTTATTTTATTATATTTTAATTTAGTTTTTTTATAGCATAATTAATTTTAAAAAAATACATCTAAATTTAAATATACTAAAATATTAATTTCAATAAATTAATTAATATTTAAAAAAATATTTTTACAAAAAATATATCTTTACTATTAAATTCTCAAACACATAATCAAATTAATATATTTAAAATGCATCAAAAATAAGCTACATGAACATAAAAATATTTAAATAAATTAAGTTATTGATGTCATCAAGTGGTAGAAAGGATAGATTGGTATTAATAGATGCAACAATACAATCAAACACTGATATAAAAGTCTTTGGAAATTTTTAAATGCTCTTTGTAGTATAGTTCTTATAAAACTATTTTATCAAATTTATTAAAAATTTAAATATAATATTAAAAAATAATTTTTCAATATTCAACTATATATACATAGATAATAATGAGATAGTATAAAAAATAATAAAATATTATTTAGAAAATTAAAGTATTAATACATTAAAAAATATTTATAATAAATATTTAAAGTTACATTTCTTATTTTTGAAACAATCACTAAAAATCAAAAAGATATATACATTGTATTGATAAAATAGCATAGCTAATGCATTTTGGATCTAATTTGATTTAGAATTCTAAGATATATATTGGCAACTTATAGAATATATTGGCCATATGGCATATATATAGAAACTTAATTTGCAACTTAGACTTATGTCTTTCAAGTTGGAGACTTATCAGAGATCTAATAGAATATGGCTATATAGCCCATAATTAAATATTATTTATAGAATAAAAAATGAAGGCTTTTTTATTCTTAATAATACCTTTCTTATTATTAATGTTGTTTCAAGAATTTTTAATCAAGTTAATTAACTATCACAATTTCAATAAAAAGAAGTCTTACTACAATAAATATAAAGAATGTAAGGATTAATGCTAAAGAATTTTGATGGAAAAAGATCAAAATTTTAAAGATTCCAATATTAAGTCAAATTTTATCTAAAGTTACATCCTTTTTAACATTCAAGTTGCATTTGTATGCATATTTATAACCATAAATGTTTTCTTTTATTTTGTATCTTTTATGGAAAAGAATTTATAACTCATACATGATCTAAATTCATTCTTAGAATAATTTATAATTACATTTGGAGAAAAAAATTGATAAAAGGTAGCAACAACAAAACTTATAACTTATAGTAAAGATTATAATCAACTATCCTACATTGTTAAATTCTAAATCTTTCTTGCAATTTATCTTAGAATAAAAAAGCAATCATTAATCAATTTCAATATGGATTAAAAGATAGTATCAAAGCTTTATTATTTTTAATATAAAAAGAAGATTTATTAAAATAATTTATTGCTCAAGCCATTGCATACATCAATCAATTTTTCAAAAGATACTAAGTACAAAGATTTGATTGAAGAGAAATAAATTAAGTCATGAAAATAATTCCTAAGTTATTATAAATTTATTTATTAATATTAAAAATTATAAAAATTAATATAATAAATTAAAAATCTATCATTGAACAAAAAAAGACTTAATATTATTTAGAAAGATTATTTTTATATTATAAAAAATCTAATTATATCAATCAATATTATTCAAAGAAGAAAAAAAATCACAAAATAAAGAATATAGTTGCTAAAAAACACAATG